AAGAATATGGAGCCCAGATTGTGTAGATTTAGGATGGATTTATATCAAGGTTTTAATAACCTTCTAGACGAGGTCGAATTGCAGTGTGTTCGTATCCAAAGCATTCTCGAGCTCGTCTTTAAAGCTTGGCATGTTGGGTTCCCAGCCTAGTAGCTTCCTTCCACGAATAGCAACACCTTTGGAATCTACACCCACTATTATTTTCAGTCATTGGGATATCCTTTCGCTTTCCTCTGTAGTCATGTATTCAATACCTGGCGGTGGAATAAAGCCTTTCTTATGCAATATTTCAGCAGCCAACCGCAGCATGTCGCAATTCACATAAAAACCACTTTCTGTCAGGTAATACCCTTTTTCGTTTCAAGTGGCACGTTCAACACCATTCACAGCAGCTTCTGCCAGTAGAACGTAGAGCTTGCTTAAATTCTGCAGATGGATATTATGCCAAATGTTATCACCTTTTCCAACCACAAAGATCTATTTGTGTTTGAAAAATAACTCAAATAGCGGAAACGAGTTCTTCTTATCCGGTCCCCGACCTATGCCATAGATGACAGCCGGAGCGACAATGGCAACTTTATCTACCTTGCGATGGATGATCTGGAAGTGAGGTCAACTCCTCTACATGATCCTAATCGTCGTAAATCGTGTCAAAACACTCTCCATTCTGGTGAATAAAGTCTCTTCCGCGAGAGCCAATGCACCAGAAGTATGAATATAGTAGGCAGGATTCTTGGCTTGGCGACGACTCAAGCCTCGAACGATTGCTCTTGCCGATGGTATATGTTCATCACTAGCAGCAGAATGAAAGACAATATCAGCCTTGGAAACTTCCTCTTCAATTAAGTCTACATCATCGGTACTCCCACATTACCAGTCTCGCTTGAGGGTATGCAGAAGGTACTTTGGCCTAGCCCCTTGCTTTACTACGTACCAAAGAGGACCATTCCCACTCTGGATGTACGCGGGAATCGTAATATAGGATATCTCCTCTCAGAAATCCTGTCTATTTCACCGTAATGAATGACAGACAAAGAGAAGATTTTGAATATACACGAATATCCTTGGTACTACACATTCATTTAATATATTATTTTCATCCAGAATAATTTTGTTACAAGAATTTTTCTTTGTTATTCATTGCTTTTTGTTTTTGAAGACCAATTTCTTCATTTTTCGCAGAGAAAAGGACCAAAATAACAGCTGTTTTGCAACGATGAATTCAGCTACTTTATCTACTTTATCCAATAATTGTAACGTTTTGTATAGGTTGCACTTATAAATCAACAATGATAAACATAATGCTCAATTTCGAGAGAACTGGGGAAATTAGACAAAGTATTTCTTTAATTCAAGCGTTAATGGTCTTTTTTTTTTAGACCATAATGAAATAATATTAAGGCGAATAAATAAATAAAAATTAAAATAGAACAGTTGAAATCTCTGAGCCTTCACATCGACCACGGCACTCTGCTTATTGTAATGCACAGTCCAAGGATCTCAGATAACTTCAGAGTAAAAATGAAACGAAAAAGCTTTCAATTTAGGTCAATGCATCCATCAATTATGACGAGATCTGAGTATTCGATTTGGTGTACTACTTTGATTTCCTATGTCCTGGAGGGTTGAAAACTCGTAAAGATTATCATGAGGACATTTGATAAATCCAGCCACATCTGAAACTTTTCTTTTGAGAGACGTTTGAGGCTCATTCTCAACATACTTACAGCCATATCCCTCCAGATATGTTTTCAACTGGCTTGGATTCAAGTTATCAACATCGGAAATAGTTTTTAACTCAGGCAGATTAGAAGGAGGTTCTTGTCCATTAATAAATGGAATCGGCTTTGTATCCTTATAAGACTCTCTGTTGATAATGTTTTCAGATCTCTGTGCTGAGGTCCTTGTTTCGTTAGTTTTGGTTTCAACGTTTCTGATGCGTGATAATTGTTCACCGTTAAGGGCATGAAAACTGATAGAAAAAGTGTCGAATCGTCCTTCCAACATAGATAAACGTTCAGCGATGCTATTTTGTCCTTGAATCATATCTTCTTTGAGGCTAGATTGTCCATCTTCTAGATTATTAACCTTCTGGTAAAGAGCTTGAAGCATCCCACGAATTTCAGACATGTTATCTTGTGGACGAGTCTCTCCTCGAAGTTTGGATGCAACTGCTTCATGAAGGCTCGTCAACTTGCTTCTAAACGAATCAAACTGATCCTGGGGAATCGCCTGTGAGAATTCAGCTATGAAACGGCTTAAGGAAGCATCAGAATCATCAGATGGTGGAGGAATTCCAAATGGGTTCGTAAATAAATCTTGACTCATTCTTGAAAAAGGGTCAGCGAAAGCGAAGTGTGTAGCAACTATTGGTCACAATGAAAAGGTGTTGGTAGTTGTTTTGTTTGTTTATTTGAGTTGCGAGGCGAAAAGATAAGTGGAATTAGGGATGTCTTCAGCTTCGTTAGATGGTTAACGAGTGTTAGCGCATTGATGATCGTCGGGCGGTGTGCTGGTGTCGGTATTACGAAAGATAATTTGTTAAGATTATTGTTCTTAGAATACGCCGCTGGTCACGATAATAATCTCACACGTTATGAGAATGTAAATCGAGTGTAATAAACAACTTTAGTTGTATACTTTTTTGAATTGCACTTGGTTGTATTACATATTTAGGAGCTATAACGTCCAGGATCTGGTAAACTAAATGAAAGTTTGTAGATGATGTTCATTATCCACACTAGTCGAATCTTTCAATCTGAAGATTCTGACTGTAGACAAACAGCTTATATAGGTCTTTTGATATAGATTACGCAATCTATTTTATTTGTCAAACTCCTGATGGTCATCATAATTCCTATATCTCATATCGATATTCGGTATTCATGATTGGTATACGGTGTTTTTGAAATGGTAATCATCTTTTGTTCTCTCATCAGACTTTTTTTTTTGATTTCTTGATTCTGATAGGTTTATTTCTCGTGAACCGTTAATCTCATAGGTTGCATGTCAATTGGCAGATTTAGTTTTTACTGTTCCAATCGAAACTTTTTTTTTTTGGGTAAAGTGCAGAGGAAAAAGCAGCATTTATAGATTAAGGAACAAAGTCAAAGGTGTTTTAAAACGGATATACATTTTTAGCACCTTTAAATCAATTCTTCAAATGAAAAGTAACAAATTCATGATTTTGCAGTTTCAATAGAATCCTTGGTTATTGTGTTACTTTTGGACAAACTCACCATCATAAACTACGATTTCACCTTTCGGTCAAAGCTTATAGAAAACAATATGTTGTATTGATATTTTAAACAACTTTCATGAAAAAGGAGGAAGCAGAGATGACTGGAAACAAGCACCAAAAACAACAGGAAAGTTAGTTGCTAATAAGGGCCAGGCTAGCTAACAATCCCGAGTTTCTACGGAAACAAATTAAGCATGTCTCTGCTCGTAAGACATCTCAATCTCAATCTCAAATGGACACTGACACGCTGACAATAACAACCATTCAATAAAATGGGCATAGCATAAAAACATTACTTTGTATGATCGTTCAAACTCGGAGAACCTGTGTCTCCAAAAGTTTGCAACTCTATTTCTTGCTCTCTTGCAGAATGCCCAACAGACTTTTTTGAATGATTTGCTTTGGTAGGGCTTTTCCCAAGAGGAGAACTTGACACTTCAACATTGTTAGGTGCAGATGTTGGAGTCTCAACACTAGCTTCTAGCTCGTCAAGTTCAACGGTATTTGTTGAATCTGAATCAATCCCAAAGCTTTGATTAGTTGTATAACCGAAAATGATTGTCAAAGGCAGTATAAATTTTCTCCAGAAGTACGGAAATACTCTTCCTAAGAGAAACGCAGCCAAATCTGGAACCATAGATATACACCAAACGATGATGTCCAACACAACTAAACACTCAAGTTAGCAAGAAATCCAACGTACTTCAATTTGCTTTTCCGATGAATGCAAATCACTTACGAGAAATTATTACAGCGGAAATAAAAAATAAAACTAAAATCAATCCACCAAGCAAAGGTAAAGCAATTTCCTTAGACAAAGATGAATCCTTTATAAACTCTGACAATTTATCAGAATATTTGAAAAGTAAATAGAAAATAAAAGCAGACGTATAAAGATAACACATAAAACATCGAAAATATCCTGCTTCTTTCAATGTGCCCGCTGGTGCTAATCGGGGACGTACCGGCATGCAGATGCAATCGAGGATACAGCTTCCCCATGATCTGTCTGGCACGGGTTCTGCCATGCGTCCATGAGCTTCATCCGTATGGACTTGATTATCATCATATTCGTCTCTGTTACTCATTTGAAGTTGTTTATAAGTAGGAGGAATAGGTGTAAACAAACCCTTCTCCAAATCATCTCCACTGTTATAACAAACTTCTGAGTAACTTGGCAAATCCAAGTGAAGCGAGCTTTTCCTCGAATTGTCGTATTCAGAGAAATTGGTGTCGTTGGGTTCCATTTTTCCTACGTTATTGTCATTTTTCCAAGCTTCGTTCGTCCATTCTCGCTTTTCACTCATAAATGAACTTGAAACCTCATGACTCCGTGTTTAACAGTTTTTCCCTTATTTTACCATTAGGGAGCTCTCTTTTTTGCTCCAATTGAGGTTTGTTTTGTGCAGAAAGAGAATGCGACGATGAGATGGGAACAGTCATTTCTTCCGTTTTGCGAGACGTGACGAGGCTTTGCAAAATGATAGTTATTACGTATTTGCTGTACCCCACTATCTATGAGATTTGACACTGTATCGACAATCAAAAACATCCTTATACAACTTTTGCTGCTTGCGTTTCTTTTCGTTAAATGAAAAACATAAACAATGGATTGGAGCAGGTTTCTGTAAGAAAGTAGTTGCTGCGACTTCCATAAAAACGGTCAGAGAAGCGTTAAAAAA